TCAAGTTGGACTTTGAACTGTACACAGTTTATAACAAAGATGGACAGGGAGCTAAGCTGGAGGCAGCCAGTTGTAGGATAAACAGGTTTAAATTATTACACTTCATTTTATTTTTGAAACCTCACAAATACATATTTGTTAAATATAGGGATAAATAAACATAACATTAAAAATCTTGGAAAGTGACAGTGCCTCTTCAAACTGTTTTGTACACCTTCTTTCTCCCACGTAGCATGCCTCTCAATAGTCCTGATTTGGTCAGGACAGTCTTAATTTCAGTGTGACAATTTCCATTTTTGGGTGCTGTCCTGCTGTCTCGACTTAGTCTCCTGGTATCCCACGTTTAGGGACACCAGGGAAATGTCCACAACAATCATAGCGCAAGAACATCATGCTTGCACCATGTTCAGGGCACTAGAACCCTGCAGGAAGTATAGAAACAGTGCTCTTTGCATGGTCTGCCCTCTGTGGGCCAACTAAAATGATTGGCAGGCAGCCTGGTGTGCATTCACACCAGGCTGTCCTACCAGTAATGTGGGTAGACATGCCCTCTTTCCAGGTAAATCTGCCCCCCGGAATTGCCAATGTTGGGATCTACGTATGTAGTAATGATCCGCAAGAGTTCACTGTCACCACTGGGACCACCAGGGCTTCTTCACCGGACCACCAGGGATTGCAGAAAATGTCCCCCCTCCCAGGCAAAGGTAAGCAGGAATGGGGGATAATAAAATAATAATTATAATTTTTTATTAAAATTAAATTAAAAAAACTTTTACTAATTAAAATTAAAAAAATAAAAGAATATCTTCATATGCCCTCCTAGCCCCACAGACCCACAATTACCCCCCCATACACACACTGCCCCCCATACACACACACTGCCCCTCCATAAACCTACATTACCCTCATACACACACATTACCCCAACACACACTGCCCCCCATACACACACACTGCCCCTCCATGTACACACACTGCTCCTCCCTACACACACAATACCCCATACACACAAACTGCCCCCTCACACAACCTGCCCCCCACACACACTGTACCCCTCATACAACCTGCCCCCACACACACTGTATCCCTCATGCACAAACTGCCTCTCATACACACACTCTACATCCTTCAAAAACACAATGCACCCCCATACACTCACTGCACCCCACACACACACATGCTGCCCCTCACACGAGTGCACACACACACACACTGCACCCCTCACACACACATATTGCACCTCTCAGACACACTACTGCCCCTATCCCCTACTACAGCCCCTATCCTGGCAGATCCCAGATAAGTTGTCAAACTGTTATTAAACAGTTTGACTACTTACTCTGGAAGGGCACTATGGCACTACTGGCACCATAACCACTACAAAGTCCTGTAGTGGTTATTGTGCTTGGATTGTTTCTTTAAATAATCTACCAAAGCCCCTCCCAAGATTAGGTTCTGGATCTGCTCTTGAACGGCAAGCATTTCTGCCAAACAGGGGCCCAGCATATGCCGCCACGCTGTAAATATATACAACCTAGGAAATTATTTTAACCTGGAGTGCCTTTGAAAAATATTGAAATATTGAAATATTAAGGAACCTAAATAGTTTGGGCACCACTGCTTTATCCTATTCTGAATATTTGTATATTGATGGGGTTTTTTCTATTAAAAATGATCAAAATACAGCAATTATAGCAAATGTCCTTCACATTTTTATTCTGTTTTTACTTTCCTTGCAGTGTTTTTTGTTTGTGTATTTTTGTTCCCTAGTATAATTTGTGACCTACCTGCCCTATACACAGAGTTATTTGCTAAAGTAAGAATTTAAAAGTGAATTCAAAGTGAATTTCAAATTAAAGGTCAGAGTCCAGAGTAGCTGAACTGAAACCCAACCCGACTTAGAGACTATTTCCAGTTTGAAATTCACCTTGATTTCACACTTTAGTGAATAATCCTGATAATGTTCGTACATTTCCATTCACTCTTTTAGCTCAGAAGAATGCAGCATGTATAATTGTATTCACAATGATGTCACTCTATCAGCTGATTTATTACCGCAGTGTTAAATATGTCCTAGCCTACTGTATAAAGTGGCAGATTGACATGGTAGAAGCCAGGACCATTGAAAAATGCACTTGCCCTATGCCTCTTTGACTGCATCCTTGGCACACAAATATTATTCAAAATATTCCACAATTTCACAAATGGTAAGGTCTGTTTAGTAACTAGCCTCCAGGCATGTGTTGGTAATAAAATAAAACAACCGTGGAAGAAAATTTATATCAGCCCAATAATGCATTGTATCGTTTTGCAGATATATAACTGGGGAAAAATATGAATACATTTATATAATACCGATATGTTAATATACATTTGTATTTATGTCTTTACACTTTTTTTTAATTAAACTTTGACATTTTGAAGACACACACTTAGTAACACTCTCACAAACTCACTGCTACATGCTCTGACACACAAACATACCCTCACTGATATACAAACACACTCAATGACAAACACATGCACTGCGTACACACATTGCCACATACACTGTCACTGACACACACATTCTCACTGACACATTTACTAACACACTTCACTTACTGTACTTACCAGTAGCCACACAGCTGCTTTCCTAGACTTGCACACAATCTTGTTTTGCACCATGATCCCCCGCTCCTCACATACAGCCATTCACAGGGTCTCAGCCACTGGGATCTGACATCATGTATCCCAGTAGCTGGCTGTCAACGCTCCTTGCACCTGCTACTTTTACCTGCACCCTTGCACATCACGTATTCCATCTTTAACCTCTTAAGGACCAAACTTCTGGAATAAAAGGGAATCATGACATGTCACACATGTCATGTGTCCTTAAGGGGTTAAAAGAAAAGAAAATGTTATTGGCAGCAGCCGCCAAGTGGCCCCAGGTTACTGTGGCCCTTTGGGAAATTCACAGTGGTTCAGTCCAGCCCTGATAGTCACACTGCTGCAGAGATAAGGTCTGCTTGAAAGCCAGTTTAAAGATTTGTGATGTTTACTATCATGTGTCTCATGTTGGCTTCTGAGCATAACTGGGCTCTTTAATAACAGCTATTTCCTTAACTGCTAAGAAAGCATTAAGCTAAGTAAATAGCAGGCGTAAGTCTTCATAGTATAGCTACAAACAGTGCAATTCACTACAGTTAGGAGCTATAATAATTAGTAAAAAATAAAATAAACATGTTAAGGTGAACTTAGCATATCAGAAGAGACAGCCAATTTGGTCTCTCAATTTAAAAAAAAAAAATATATTATTTTATTTTTTTAAAGTGGTGTTTCTCAGGAAATCTTCTTACTTCACCCAAAAAGACAAATAAAAAAAATCATTGTAACCCTACAAAACTATTTAAAATAAAAAAAGACTTGCATCTCAACAAAAAACAGTGAAAAAAACTTACAACATAAAAAAAAAAAAAAAATTAAAGTGAGCCCACTGAGGTCATTGTGCTGAGTATGTGTTTAAGGCAAGAAAGTAAAGGTCGTAGAGGTGACCTAATCACAGCTCGCAGATAAGCAAGTCTCACTTCTCATGATACTTCTCCAGTAATGTGTAGAAATATTCATCTTTATCTACATACACTGTACATCTATACATATTATTAGGTAAGTCACATGACAACAAAGCATTAAAAAGGAAAGGAAAAGTCAAGAGGGCACTTTGGTATATGTTTGTTTGTCTCTGTCTTTTTGGCACTAATTCATATTAAGTAATGAATATGTTTGATGAAATAAAAACTGCAAACGGGGAAGTATGGGTCATAAAGATTTACAGCTCAATTTAGCAGAAACAGAGTTTATTTGTTTTAAACCGCTTTGTTTGGTTATAATGATTTCTTCAATTTGCCTTTATTGGGGCCAAAGAAAGAATACAAAAATTACTTTCAATTAAATATATAAAAAAAAATCTGCTTTATTGTTATTACTGCAAGGAGACCTCACTGAAAGATTTTATTTTGCTGGTGTAATTTGCGCAAGAGACCTTATGCCTTGTCTGATTAGGTGTAGCAAGCACACATTAAAAAAGCTGTTTTTGAGTCAATAAAAACACAATTTTTAGTAAATAGCAAATGCTGTTCTGGTCTCTATGATTAGCATTTTTTATATAACTTTGCTGCGGTGCTAAAAAAATAAAAGAAAAAAAGATCTGGTTCCACTAAATTGAGCTGTAAATCTTTATGACCCATACTTTCCCATTTGTAGTTTTTTTTATCAAACATATTCGTTGTTTAATATAATAAAACATAAATCAGTGTCAAAAAGACAGAACGGCACAGCTCTCCAAGCATCATCTGATGGCACAAGTTGGTGTCTATTTTTTCTAACCCTGATGGACACAGAGATTCATATGTAAACACCTGGGAGATAGGGTGATATGTGTTATAACAATATGCTCCAGAAAAAGGAAAAATTGGCAAGAATTGGAATTGGACCTTTAAAGAATAAGAACTGCAGCAAATGAGAAATATATCTTTGCAGAATTTTGACAGGTCTATAAATCGCCTACACAGTATACCCTCGACAAGTGGCTTATGAACTTGTCCGTGAAGGGAAAAGATTGTCCCCCCAGGTCCCCTTGTAATGGATAAGTTGTAATTCATAACCAGTCATCCACAATGGAATACAGCCAGCTAGCAGTAAATAAGAGCAGGAGACTGTAAGAGGGGGGTAGATTAAGGGGCAAAAATTTAAATTCCCCAGTCGTACTGCAGCATAAACAGAGCTAGGAATCTGGCATTAGCATTTAAAGGTATGTACAAGCTCAATATCATACATGTGTACCTTCTGATTTCTAAGAAACAGGATGTATGACAAGGAAAATTGAAAGAGTTAAATCTAAGGCCCATATTCTCTTTCAGCTTTTTTTTCTATTTGTTGTGTATTTGTACATTCAGATGAATTATAGACTTTTTGTCAGAGATTTTATTTGAATACTTTTGAATTTTATATTTACATAGGATAGCATCATAAACAGGTTTTACATGTTTTGTTTTTTTTTACAAAAAAAATGAAAGAAACATTTAAATAACAAAGTTAGCATGATACACAGTAGCATGTAAGTCTGTCCTCGGGAGTAAAATTCCTTTGCTTTCATTTGAGTCTGTATCACAAGATGTTCTGTAATTTTACTCCATTGTTCCAGTGCCTTGATTGATTCATTAAATATCCTCATTCGCCATCTTTAAGTTGTAAATCCATATTAAAACTGTAGAGAAGGAATTCCTTTTTAAATGTAATATTTCTTTTTCTCGTGTTGTAGTACAGTAAAATGTTGCAATTTATTGCCATCTTCATTGAATTTTTAACAAATATCATTTAGTAAACAATAAAATCAAAGATGGAACCACCCGATCTAAAATGGCTGCTCCCTTAACCAAAGCCATCTTTTAATACTATTAAAGTAATAGTTATTTTTATGAGATTTGAAAATGTATTTTTAATTTACACTCTGTGATTTTTAATACATATTCTATTTGTTAATTATGTTTATTTGATTATAAACTTTGCTCTAAATAGATACAACAGATTAACAGATAAGTACTCTGGACTATAACTGCTGCGTTATTTGATTGTAACAGATTTCTATATGCGCAGTTCTGTTTTATGTTTAGCAAGAAAAAAGAAATACAGCCAGATGAAATTAAAAATAATAGAAAATATTACTAAACTGCACAAACAATTAGTAAATCAATCATACTGGGAGGTTAATAATATGAAATGATTCTTCATAGCAATGTACAACAGCAGATTTACCATTTGACAAAGAAGTGACTAGATTTTCAAATAAAGAAAATGGCATTTCTAAATAATGAATCCAATATATAGATTATCAATGGGGTCCAAAATATGATTGACTGCTTTGCATGTTTTAAAAAGCTAGTACAATTGCATTTCAATTATTAAATGTAATGCCTTACAAGTTATTACAACACACAGTCCCAAAGAATGATCAACATACCTTAGCTTATTTTGGAAGAGTTAATCAATTTTACAACTGGTTTGTCTAGACTATAAAGTGCATTATTGGATGAGATATTTATTTATGGTAAGATTCATCAATGTCTTCATGGATAACACCTTCGAACTCCTATGTGGTGTGTTGGAAATATGATTAATATTTAATATGACTGATATGTATGTATTTTTTAAATAAAGTACTTTATGGGTCTGGACTGTCCCTATAACATACATAACTGAGCCTGTTCAAAATTGGTGAGAATTATGCTCTTGGGCAAAATCTATTATTTGCAGTTGCTGTCCTTAAAGAGTCACCAAAGATACCCAGACCACTTTATCGATGTGGCCCTTTAGGTTTAACCCTGCAATTGTAGAAACTTTAATTGCAGGATGAAACACACTAATAGTGATTATCTTCCTGACTGCCTCTAGAGGGGCTTCCCTGTGAGAACCAAGTCAGACTCACTTCTTCAATCAAATGCTACTCGTATAGAAACATTTAAATGTTGCAGCATGGAAATTTCCTGTGCATGTGCACAAGCCTCCAAACGCTTGCCTATGGGGAAGCACTGGATTGGCTGAGATCATCAATATTGATGCTCTCAATCAGGAAGGTGAAGCAGCCTTGCCAAAACCAGTCCATCAAGGGAAGAAAGGTAAGTAGAATTCTAATGGGGGGGAAGGTGGACCTATATAGGTAGAGGAACACTATAACTTTAGGGATACATGTTTGTATTCCTAATGCCTTAGTATTCCTTTAATTCAGTCTATTTGCAGTTATGACATGTAGAAAGGAGGATGGACAGATAATATGATTGTCTCTCACACCTTCATTCATCCATTTATATCACAGGAGAGGGCTTGAATTAATGGTGGAAGCAATCTGGGGCAGGCCGAGATATGTAGGTTTTGGTATTTACCTGAGATTAGGGACCGTTACATTGCCGGTGTCAGTCACATCAAGCAATATGATTTTTATTGCACATTTGACATATATCTACAAAGAGGAAATCAGTTATCATTGCATCCTTCTTTGATATGTTTATTCTTTTTTAGAAACGGTCATCCTTTATTTTTGGTCAGCCAATCTCTTCAACCAAGTTAACTATCTGAAAAGTCAAAATAATCCCTATTATAAATCTGAAGCACATCCAGTGTAGATGCAACTGAAGATATGGTGACTTAGACAATCAGTACAATGTCTGTCGTGTACAGACCAAAGTGAATGAAATTAAGACTCTTTTAAAGACTGCCTTTTCATTTTTGTTCTGGACCACCTATTGTTCCGTACAATTTGCTTGTTTGTTTGATTAATTTTTTTTGTGAGTTGTTAGGGCTCACAGCATGGGCATTCTGCCATTTTTCAATTATAAAAAAACATGCAGACTTATAGGTTGCATTATAGGTATTGATTGCAGCCCATTACGCACACATAGTTTTTGGAGCTCATTTTCAATGTGCATATATTATGAGATAAAAGGAAGGTGTGTAATTTATTCAGATACCCAGACAGAGAATATTGCCGCATTCCTTAGAATTGCGGCAGAATGTTGAAAATAGGTGATGGGTAGCAAAAGGAACATTACTGCATCATCTATGCCATATAGTTTATCTATAAATGTAAAGCCTAGTTGTGAACCAGAGAGTCAAAGATATAGGGCAATCACCCTGCAAACTATTTGGGGAGCACTAGAGATTAACTAATGCTGGGCAAGTTGTAAGGCCTAGTGTAAGGCTATAGGCATTTCATCCAACTATTCTCCACTATGGTTCTGAGATATTCCCTACACTAATGAATTTTCACTTATATCCTCAGAGAATTTCATCATATTTAAAGTAAAGTTATTTCTTCCAAGTGCATATGTGTGAGGTATATAACAGGCATACATGAATAGTCTTAATTGGCTTTTAAATAGATTGTATCACACCACAGGGATCTAGAGGCTTGGAGAGAAGGAATGTACAAAGAGATTGCTGTCTGCATGTTATAGAAACCTGCGTTTGTCATATGAAATGAAGGTAACTGATGTACAGTAGAATGCTGGTTCTAATTGTAGCTATATAAAGTAAGAGGAGCAATTTGATCAATTTAATAGCTAGAGCCTAATCTGTTTATTGAGTTGGAATCTATAATGCATTTTCCTCATTAGTAATAAAAGAGTTAAATGCTAGTGCTTTATCTTTTATCTATTCCATACATCTTCTGTCTTATTTGCAGAGATTGTCTTTGTATGAACTTGTTCCTTCTTCTGTTTTCACACAGACACTAGCGATCACAAGCATACACACACACTATCTATCTATCTATCTATCTATCTATCTAACTATCTACCTTCCTACCTGCCTGAATGTGTGACATTAAATGTTTATGAAGTAGCTGACTGCAGTGAAGTTAACTGCAAATGTAGACGTGCCTCTGCTCAGTTTCTCATTTTGAATATGTTTTCATTCATCCCTTTACAAATACACTTATATTCAACCATGACTTTTTGGATCTTTTTAAAGGATGGATGTAATGTTTCTGTATCCATTTGACTGTCTAAAGATTGTACAATACATTTAGGGTACCACAATCAATGGCATATCTATAATGTAACGTTGTATTTTCTGAAGATTGGGAATACAATTAATTTAACTCTACAATTTTTGCATCCTTCCAACTGTTTGCGTTGACTACCAGACAGAATACGTACAAATATAATTTGCAGCACTTGGAAAGAAGGCAAATGGTAATTTATACAACACCACTGGCTAACACATTGTAGCTGTGATTGTGTTTTGTATTTGTTTAATGACTTTCACAATCTCCAATGAGGGCATAATCTAACCTATAGATTTGTTAAATATTTCACTTCCAACATGTAAATAATACATTAGAATCAATTTATCATTTGGTGCAGAATTCATTGTTTTACCTAAATTTGGGTGACAGGACAAAGTTGTATCAAAAGCTATGTGACAAAACATTTTGGTGGAATTAATGGTATTCTGTCTTTACGTTGTCACTTGATATGGGCAAGGACCTGACCACCTACAAATATGTTACTTAGTGGTAAGAATAAAATCATCAGATTAAGACCTATGTGGATGAGAGAGGTGTAAAACACAAAGCAGTACTATTACTAAATGCCAATTTAACAATGCATAGTGTAGAGAAAAAAAATAAAATAAATAAAAATAGGAAGAGTTGACATCCTCTATGTTATTCGGTGGATCCGATTCACTAGGTTTTAAACTATCTATTTTATTTTTTGCAAACTCTTTCCAGTACTTTCTCTCTAGATTTAAATAGAATAATATAACAGGAGGAACAAACAAGTGGCCATTAAAGCACTAGGGCAATGTAGCAATACTTGCCACTACAAATGAATTAAGGCCCCCTCAAAAAAAAGTCTAGACAACTAACAGATTAACTATTGCGAGATACAAGGAATCAAAGTCCAACAGAATATATAGCATCCGTTAGAAGAGTGCAAACCATGTTTAGAAAATCATTGAAAGTGGAACGCTCTAAAATCAAAGTATAGCTTGACCCAATTTAGAGGCCCAATTAGAAACTGGTTCAGTCTGAGGACAGGGGTACTCTTTGGGAGGTTGATAGCAACAGGTTTATATGAAAGGTTCAACTTGAATGACTTAAGTCTGTTTTCCAACCTATTTTATTGTATTACTGGAGTAAATGTTGTCCAATAAGAAAAAAATAATAATAATAAAACTATTGAGATTGTATACATGTGGAGAGAAATAATTGAAATGGTAAACTTAAATACATTTTTTTTTTTTTAAATGGAGATGTTACTCTGGCTGGAATGAATGCATTATACGTATCGCAGACAGAAGTCTAAATGCATTTTAGTGCTACTGTGATCTGTACACTCTTCTGAAAAGGTAAAGGTTAATGGAGCAGTACATGCTCAAAGTCATGTGATAACATATTTTGACCTTGGGAAAAATCACTTGACCTTCCCGCTATACAGGCACTAAAAAAAGTGTATTCTTTCAAGGGCAGGGATAGATAGAATCTAGGTATATAACTATAGACCCTGCAGTTCTATATGACAAAATAAAACCTTATGTGCACAGCGTGTGTGCCTTGCGGTCAACATCCGACATATTCTTCAGTCATCATTCAGCAGAGAAGAAAATGTTTTGTTTCAAGTCATTAAAGTGGAATGGGAGGACTGAATGAAATTGCTTCTTACAAAAAAAAAAAAAATACAACCTTATATTATGACAGATTTCTTGGCAATCGTAATTTAAAACCGCTCTTCAAGGAACTGAGTTAAATTGGCAGCTGCTTAGATTGGCACTGCCTTAAACAGTTATTTCCTATAAGCTTCAGCTTCTAATAGGGGGATTCTGCTCTTAGTTCAACATAAAATATTCTTCGTTATCCATTGTCCATATAAATTGTTGAACGGCTTTTGTGAAGATCAATTTCCCATGATTTTTGAGGAGTCAAGAAGTTTATTTTACATTAGCATAGTACTCCTTATTAATGTCAGATATTCACCCAAATGCAGGGACGGAGTTTCTTTGCATGGGAATGTGTACAATATGCCGGTGTGTAGCCCTGGCCCATGACAGCATTTGTACCCTTTGGAAGAATGCTACATGTTCCCCGGAAACTATCGTGTAACCTGAAAAAAGAGAAATCATAAACAAATTGTTAGTACATAGGAAAAGAAGAGGTTAAAATATTCACACTCTTATATAAGTGGGTAATCAAGGCATTGCTTGAGAAACATATTATGATTGCATTGGATCAATACTTTTCTTGCATTAACTTGCAAAATTTAGGTCAAAAGACACCAATTTATTTATATTTATTGATGAGAAAAAATAACATAATGTGAGTTGAATTGCAAATACAATTGCATGAATTATTGTCTTCGTTTTCAGTCCTCCCTAATAATTTTAATTCTGCATTCCAATCTGAATGCACTTTAAATTAATGCATACGCAAAATAATTGCACATGGCTTGGAAACATTTCTAAATTATATGACATTTGCATGTTTTTTGGTGGGGGATTCAAACCAAAGGGCAGTTTGATTGAATTGAGCAGCTAAGGCTTCATCTTGGAGTTACACACCACAACTTGAGAGCAAATATCATCTAACCCCAAGTCTAACCAATGCTAAACTCCCCCTACCTCCAACCCTAAACCTAGCACATGTGTGCCAGCATTACAGATATATCAGCTATTGCTGTCCATATACTGAGTGTTTCTTTAACACACTAAAATGCTCTGAAAGGAATTCTAAGTACACCATGAGTATAGTTAAACATGCACTCGTGGTACCTTTTAGTCCTCCCAACACTGAGTGACAGAGCCAGGGTGCCTCAGTAGGACTCATGGAAAATCGAGTGCCATATGCTACCACTGCGCATATTTCTTCATAAACACAATAATTAGATACACTATTAACCACTTAACCACAGAAATTTGAATGTGCATGATCCGGTACATGATATTGGTTTTGTACCTTTGCTGTTGTATGTTTCTTCTTTCATGAAATGTTTGATAAAAAATTGATATGTAGAAAAAAAAATCTTATCTCCTGCTCTGTTAATAGAAAGTTATTCACATGCAGAATGACCTTGGCTCCAGCAGGCAATTAGCAGAGCAGAAGATATGACATTTTAAATTAACCACTCTGTGCAATAAGAAAAGTTGTATAAATCGAGCTCTTATTCACAAATGTATAGTGAGACTATGTGAGTCACAGACAGGGAAGGTGTGGCTAGAGTTGTATCAACAAAGTAACTTAACTCCAAAATGTCTGAAAATTTAGTAGTGAGACTTTGGTGGAATTGTCTACGATCCAAAAACATTTTACTAAGCTAAAGTTGATTTTGTGCTTAGAGTGTCCCTTTAACAGTGCTGTAATACGCAGTGTCATATCTGTGGAGAACACAGTAACATATATGTATTGCTACAATTTTAAGGTAAAGTTTTAAATGTTAAAATTGTTTAAATATTTTAAATTGTATCAGTTAATGGGCCTGAAAAGTAAAACTTTGTTTTTAACCCCTTAAGGACCAAACTTCTGGAATAAAAGGGAATCATGACATGTCACACATGTCATGTGTCCTTAAGGGGTTAAATTGCTCTGTCTTAAATCAGGCTTTAATTTAAAAAAATATATATATGCCAAGTAAAATTGGTAGATGGAATGCAATCTTCTTGTGTACCTCTAAGATATTGAAATGCATACATATATATTTCAAAATGTCACAAAAGCAAAGTTATTAAAAATTCTGGTTAAAGTTCCTCTATATCTCTAGGAAGTTAGAATAGTAAACTACTAAATGTACAAAAATATGTTATATAGAATATGAAAACTATAACAATATTCTGAAGTTAAAGTAAGTATTTAAATAATCTAGAATGGCACACAGATAACAACATGTTAAATAATGTTATTTTTGTTTAGCAATACATTCTGTACAAAAATGTATTTGCTAAAATATTCAAGAGGAATAGTCACTGTTTTGGAATGTACACCACAAAAACATTGAAAACCAATTATAACTTTTTTTTCATGAGATGCTTCATTTTATTGTTCATTAAAGAAATTGTAATCAAGTAATCAATGCATAACCAGGGCAAATATTGCAAATGAAAAGAAGAAATATAATGTTGCTTTCTCTATGCCAAATTCGAGATAAACAGGATACATGATGATTGACAGGGGGCTAATATGAAGATGCCCAGTTGCAGGATAAAGAGGTGTGGATTTCTACATTAAATTTTATTTTAATTTGGATAGTAGCAGGCTTATACAATGTACGATCATACATTGTAACTAAATCCCCATTATTTTTGCAACAAGTCTGATGTTTAAAAAAATGAAAAACAAAAAATTTATATATATACATTTCCTGTATAGCTGTAATCAAAAGCATTCAACCCCCAACAGGTTTATTGTCAAAATGTACAGATTTTCAGCTGTTTGCAATTAACAAATCAAACAAAAGCAATTGAAGTAGCTCAACACAATGAATGACTCAAAAGTATTCAATCCCTTTAATAGCATCCCTCACAACAGAACAAATATGTAAAACAGGTATTGTCTAAAGCACACCTAATGCAACTAATCAAGGGCTTCTTTAGTTGCAACAGGTGTGCTTGAGCTGAAATACCTGAACCGGCTAGGGGTTTGTTGAGTGTCACGTTTTACTGCATGTGGTAAATAATAATAATAAGTCAAAAGAATGATCCACAGAGTTAAGAAAAGATATCATCACCCTTCACAAACAAGGAATAGGATACACAAAGATAGTGAAGGCACTGCATGTTTCTAGAGACTTACTGGAAACATAGTTTGCAATTTCAAAGTTGAAGGAACAGTGGTTACACTAATTGGTTGGGGCAGAAAAAGGAAGCCATCAATTGCTGCAGCCAGATTTCTGAGAAGGCAGGTTTCAAAAAACCCTTGAGTAACTGCAGAAGACCTGAAGCAAGACTTGGTAGCAACAGGCACTATGTTTTCAGTGAGCACAGTAAAGTGTGTACAAAATGCAGAAGGCTTCCATGCCAGAACCCCAAAACGTACAAAACTACTGACCCAAATGCACAAGAAAAGTCAGCTCCAATATGCTCAAAATCATATAAATGAGCCACAGAAGTTTGGGGATTTTGTTCTGTGTAGGGAACTTTTGGAAATTTTGGGCCCAGCGTTATGTCAGGAGGAAGAGGAATGAAGCATATGCTGAAAGAAACACATTGCATTTTCTCCAAGTAAAACATAAATGCTAAACATTAAAGCACATTTATATACTATTTTGTTGAGAATTCTTTGTTTTGATATTATATTTTGTAGACTACAGCAGTAAAGTAACTGTAGCAGAGCTCCCTGTACCCTGGCTTGGTACCTCCAACAAGGACCGCTTCCTAGCTGGAACAGGGGAAAACCTCAGAGCTTCTGCCCCAGTCGCCATGGCTTGACTGGAGTCCTCCTGCATCCTCTCCGTCCTGGAACAGGATAGGGGACTAGCTCTATTCACTCCTAGGGACTGGACAACACACAGTCCTGGGAGCTGTACTCCTTACAAAGACTTTCCCCGCTGAATCCTACATGAACTGGAACAAGGTGCTAAGTAGTGAATATCCCTTCCCTCCCAGTAACTAGATGACACATAGTTCTGGGAGTACAAGTGATTTTAATGGGCCAAACTCTGCCTTTTATGCACAGACCCCAGCAGGAGGTTCTTTCAAGGACACTGCCAGACCAGTTTAAACTAGCTCCCTTATCTACCATCAGCCCTTGAAATTGGCTGACCCCACCCTTCCTTGTACTATAGTACTCTATGCACCCTATTGTATGTAAATTTGGCTGTTGGGGGCTTTAAATATTTGTGCTATGTCTATTAAAGTTAGTTGTTTTAACCTTCACAAATTGTTGTCTAGTGTTTGGTCCAGGGTAGAAAAGGCCCTCAGTGATCCCAGTCAAGCCTCAGCAACTGGGTCTGAAGTGCTCCAGGGTCCCTGCAAGCATCTAGGAAGCAGACTTGGCGGAGGTACTCAGTCGGAGTATTGGAGCTCCGCTACAGTAACCATCAAGGCTTGTGATAGTGACAGAGGAATCATAACATCAATATTAGGTGGAAAGCTTCCACAACCTTAAATACAGAAAAGTATATACACTATTATAATATATCTCCATTCTCATTTTAGCGGGTTAAATAAGTCATCACAATGTAGC